CCAATTTCTGAGCGACTGAGCCGGTCCGTACATACCTGCTGAAATCCGCAGACATATCCTTCAGCCATGAAATCACATGCAGAATGGAAGCATGCACCCCTAAAGCTAGGATGGCCTGCACATGATGATTCCTAGGAAATGCCGGCAAGTCGCGACAACTCCGCAACCCGAGACCCTGAACCCCCAAACCAAGCTCCTCAACAAAGCCCTAAGACCTTTAAGACCCTAAGCCTTGAAATCGTAAAGGCTAACATTTAAACCCTGAAGCTCTTAATCCGAAGCTTTCAAACCCTAAGACTCTCCGGACCTTGAAATACGAGATCCCCAAAGCCTTGGAACCCAATCCCCTACATGCTATACTATAGTTATAGTAAGGAGCCCCCAAAATAGTATAGGTAACAATGTTTCGAGGCCTCTGTACTATATCCCTATAATGTGTATATATATATATATATATATATATATATATAAATATGTATGTATGTATGTATGTACATATATATATATATATATATATCCTTGCAGAGCTCAGAAGCTCCTACTAGCATCGAAGCATTCTAGAACCCGTTGAGATCGCTTAGAAGAGCCCGTAAGAAGGAACCCTTAACAGAATCCCTCTTTGCAACCATTATGGGAGTTTCCGAAAATTCGGGGTATCAGAGTCTGGGGGGTGCTTTTTATAAGGATCCTACTTTTTTGGTTACCAGAATAGGATTCCCAATTTTCGGAAACTCCCTTATGAAGGAACCCTGATAGTAACCCTTACAGTAAAAGCCAGAAAGTTGGAATATGATTATCCTAAGCCCTTTATGGTAAATGACAGGGTATCCTGCCATTAATCCATATTCCAACTTTCTGGAGTTCCCTTTAGTCGATCCTCTCAGAATCAGAATCCCAGCAACTTGGAAGCCTCAAGACTCGCCGAGGATTTCGGAGGGTTCCCGGATCCGGGTTCCCGCTTCGAGCCCTACTGAGGTGGCGGGGTGTCGCGTCTAGGGCATTAGGGATTCTAGAAAGGATTGCTACGAGGGTTTCTAGAAGGGGCGTGCCATAGTGGGTAATCAGGCTACAATGGAGGATAGTTTGCGGATATAGTTTAGGGTTCAGGGTTTAACTAAGGTCCAGGGTTTAGGGTTCAGAGTTCAGGTTTTTGTGTCTGGTGGTTCCGACAGGCAGGGGCGTATAGTCGAGTCCGTCATTTATTTGAACTTCTGTTCGTGTGACGTAAGAGTACTCAGACTTTAGTAGACATTCACCGAAATTGGGAGTCTGCACACACACACACACAGACACCCTAAACCACCTCTAAAGTTCACGGAGCAGTTGGTTGATTTGTTTGTACGGGTGTTCATGCTTGAGGGTGAGTTGAGGGGAGGGGTAACTGTCAAGTTTGAGCAAACACCCTACAGAGTTTTCGAGAGCCCTGAAACCCTTCCCGACATTCCAAACCTTGAGCCCCCCCCCAATCCTCAAAGGCACACCAAAACATGCAAAGTCGGTGGTTCTCTGCAACCGCGGTTTCTTTCGAAGTGACGATCTTTGGCTCCTGGTGTTACAAGGGGCCGGTTTGAATGCAATCCCAAAGCGGAGCGGTAATTTGGACCAATCCCCAAGCTTCGCACAGGCCAATCCATCTGAGAACGGGCGCTCACAGCCTCTGAAGCGACCGATTGACATGGCAGCACGCAAGCAGTCTCAACGCACATGTGCAGTTCTGGTTACATTGATTGGACATCTTCCCAAGTCTTAAGAGTTAAGAGCACTTGCAGACGGGTCAAGCATGGAGCCAGCATTGAGACTTTCATACTGCTCTAGCAGCAAGCTCACTGCCAGCATAGCGTAACGATGATTCAAGATGTGCAGTTCGCGTAAACGCGCGGAAGCCTTGTGGAATGGCTGGGAAAGGCCTTTCACCTTGTGGCGAACCCCTAGGTTCCAAATTCAGATTTAATTTGGTCTGTGCCGCTTCGGCGTTTGAAGAAGCTCTGAGAAAGCCGGTTTGATGTTGAGGCACAGGAAGTCATCGGAATATGCCCCCAGAATTCCTGCATTCATAAGCGTGTGCTACTACTACTACTACCACTACTACTACTACTACTACTACTACTACTACTACTACTACCACTACTACTACTACTACTACTACTACTACTACTACTACTACTACTACTACTACTACTACTACTATTACTACTGCTACTACTGCTACTACTGCTACTACTGCTACTACTGCTACTACTGCTACTACTGCTACTACTGCTACCACTGCTACTACTGCTACTACTGCTACTACTGCTACTACTACTGCTACTACTGCTACTGCTACTGTTACCGCTACTGCTACTACTACTTCTGCTGCTGCTACTGCTACTGCTACTGCTACTGCTACTGCTACTGCTACTGCTACTGCTACTGCTACTGCTACTGCTACTGCTACTGCTGCTACTACTACTACTACTACTACTACTGCTACTGCTACTGCTACTGCTACTACCACTACTACTACTGCTACTACTACTGCTGCTACTACTACTACTGCTACTACTACTACTATTGCTACTACTACTACTATGACTACTACCACTACTACTACTACTACTACTACTACTACTACTACTACTACTACTACTACTACTACTACTACTACTACTACTACTACTACTACTACTTCTGTTCTTCCAACACGCAGTAATAACCAACACATTATTTAGCAGGATGTCTAACATGAGGCAGAGTGCGAGTTGCTGCTGCAATAGAACACTACATACATTATTTCGTATGCTGTTTTGTACATTTTCTGACATGTTATAGACGACATTCCGGCCAAAAGGCACAGAGCCTGATAGAGCTGGGTTGTCGACCCGACTTCTTCGTCAATGTGTTCCAAGGTCACTTTCCTGGGTTTGCGGTCCTCAGGTGGCTTCTAGGATAATCTAGAGTTTAGGGTTTCTGGTTTAGGGTTCAGGGTTTAGGGCTCGGAAGAAGCTTACCTTGAAACAGACTAAGACTAAGGTTCACCATTGCAATTGTCGCCAGAGGACTGCGCATGTAAAACTGCAGAGAAACCTCGGCCTTGCTGTAGCTACTTCAGAAGATCGCCGAGGGTAGATCAACACGGCAGCGCCCTTGTTCTTGTTGTTGTTCTTCTTCTTGTTGTTTAGCGTTTAGGGTTCAGGGTTTAGGGTTTAGGGTGTTGTTGTTGTCGTTGTTGTGGAGCACATCCCTAAAGCAGAAATTGGCCTTTGATGCCTTGAGGGTTGAATTCAAGCAGACTGCCAAATATTTCCGTACTGGTTCAACTGGATCAACTGCTCAAGGGCTGAGAGCTTGAGAGTGAAATGGGGGCAGTCCTAGGGGCCTGAGCAAATACTGATGTTATTCCTTATGGTTCCTTTGTATAGCTTAGCCGCAAAATACCCGTTCTTCGTGTGAAGGCCCCTGTATTGATTGGGGTGTGTCTGCTCAAGAAGAGTGGGAAGTCCTTTAGTTTGCGAAATCGCGATTGATGAGGGCTCCTTTCACCGGAGGAGTCGGGTCATGCATCAGCAAGCCCAAAGACTCCGAAAACCCCCTAGCGAAGCGATGCGCCTGCAATTGTGGAGGGATACTAAACATGATATGAGCTGTATAACCCTGAACCATAAAACCCAAAACCCTAACCGTGAGGGATTTTGGAGTCTCTGGGAGCAGGCCACTGGATCCTTCCAGCACAGTGGCCTCGATCTAGGAAGGGACGTTGGATGCTTTCGGATGCTCTTGTGACACGCAGCAGCACTGAGCTGGATTACAGTGGTCGAATATTTATTTTTGCAATTCGAATATCTAGTATATAGCTACAGTATAGTTGTAATATCCCTCAGCCTCCCATTCCGACTCTTACGGTCCATATGTTACGGGATCCATATGCACACGAAACTCTGTACCCGAAATCGGTGGAAATCGGACCAATGCAGCACTTTGCAGTCACAGAGCCTCCTGGCAGACTCCTAAGACGCAGGCAGCAGACGGGGCAGCGAGCCTGTAAAAGGAGGGCACTTGCAGTGGTCCGAGTTCACCTACCAGGGGTAACCGTCGGGTATCCGAACGACTACACCCTAGGCCCTTAGCCCGAAACCCTACCCCTAAACGCTCAGAACTCACCATAGGGGCCTCAGTAATTACCAATGCTATTTGGGGGTTCCTTGTTGGAATTATTGTATAATGGGCCCCAAAACCCTATTCGAATATGAAAGCAAGCCCTTGTACTTATCACTAGCATCCTGACAATTCGATACCGATCCGCAGAGTCTCCGACGCTGTCACTTACCGCAGCAGCAAGGATGAATATAGGGTTTAGGGTTTAGGGTCTAGGGCTTGGCCCCTAAACCCTCGCCCCATAACTCGTCTCTGACCAGTGTCCAACATAAGGAAGACAGCTGATAGCACGCAGTGCAGTAGTACTATGCACAATAGCAGTCACGCTGCCACCTGCAATAACAGCAGCAACAGCAATCATAACATTAAGACCAGTGTTACTGCTAACAACGGAACGGTACACTAAGCTGTGCCATATCTGGTTATGTAAGAACAGCAACCTGCCACATAGGCAGCTGGGTTTTGAGGGGCTTTTGAGGGCGAATTCAGATGGAGTGGAAACTAGGGCTACATTGCCAACGGTAACTTTGGCGTAGAGTGCAGTCTGACCCACGGGTGGAACTAAGAAGACTAAATATCGACTGAACCATGTAGGAGCCATATTCGTGGCAAGGCTTTAAGATGGATTTACCATCCAGACGCGCCATCTACCACCCCGAACCCCTAAGCCCGAAGCCCTTGAATTTCAGAGAGTATAACTAGGATGCCCAGTAGTACCCTTATTCCCTTTTGTAGTCCTAGGTTCCTTGTAAAGTTACCCAATACCAAAAAGAGAGGCCTTTTTATTCTTAGGTTACTGGGTATCCTAGATAAGAACATGTGCAGAAAAAACCCTGCAGGCGCGAACCAACCTCTGAGAGCTTCAGGTCCAGTCGCGTGCCGCTGCCAGACACGCTTTCGCCACAGCGAGATGAACAGGCGGGTCTACACATGCTAGGTAGGGCTTTGGGACTTTTTATATTTGCTCGTTTTGGGCTGAAGAGGATCTTACCTACTAACAAGTTTCACCTGCTTCAAAAGCACCTCCTAGCATGGCTTGAGTATGGTTGAATAGGGCTTGACAGTTTCGTTTATAGGGATCCTGTTTATGCGCTCGTTGTTTGGCAGCGTTCGAGTATATGGTTTGCGGGTTGCACGCGCAAGGATTTCTGTGTTGGGTTTGGTGTGAAGGCATCGAAAGGTATCCGAACACCAAATTCCTCGGGAATGTTCGAAAACGCCCGCAGACCAAACTCAGCAGGATGCTGATGGATCGGTCTCTGTTCAGCACGTTTCGTGGGCATCAAATGCGGACCCTCAACTCAGTAACAAAAATCCTTAAACTCCCCCCAAAGGGTCCAAGTATCATTATGGTATATACTTAGACCCCCAAAATACCCTATAAGTATATACCATAATGATACTTGGACCCTTTGGGCCCTACTAAAGCGATTAAATCCGTAAGCCTTGGCCTCCCTTCGAGAGAGTTCAAGAGCCTCTCTTGGAACAGCCACCACGGAACTCAGCGACTTGGACTGTCTCTTGCACGGGTGGAAGGGCACTAGTCGGTTTTGCTGTGACCCTGAGCAAGAATTTTGTAAAGACGAAGAGTACAAAACAGAAAGCGATCGACACGAAGTGCTCTTGACAATCTAAACCGGGTAGTTACAGCTCAATGGACGCTACATAAACTCGTTTGATCTATGCGGTCGAAGTCACAGAGCAAAGTATGCGTCCCGTGAAGGTTCGTCTTTTCTCAGCATTGGGGTAGCAAAGGGGCATCAATAATCAGAATAGGGTTTTGGGGTATATGTTCTTTAGTGATACGGGCCCAGAATAGTATAGGTACTTATTTAAGCCCCTACATTAGTCTCAGAAAGTTGCCTCCTTTCCAGTCCAAAACGAAGAGACAGTGACACCTTATTGAGAAACAGCTCAGACAAACAGAGTATGCTGAATTCCGAAAGCATAGACCGTAAACCCTAAACCCCTAAAGCCCTAAACCCTTAATTGAACCCTAAACCCCTGAAGCCCTAACCTCTTAAGTACACCCTCAAACCTGGCACCCTAAGCCTTAAGCCCTAACTCGTTTCGCAGATCCTGGTGGACTCGGAGTACCTCGTGCCACCGCAGGGGCGGCAGAGCATCACGTTCAAAGTGCCGCTCCAAGAGGTCACAGCACAACCCGTGCTGGGCATTCCTGAGACTAAAAATATAGGGGCTTAAATAACTACCTATGCTATTTTCGGGGCTCCTTATTACTATCATATACCCTGAAAGCCCTATTCTGATTATTGAGGCCCCTATATTACCCCCTCATACCCCTCAGTACCCTTATAGTGCCCGTTTGTGGAGCAAGTAATCAAGGATCCGTACAAGGTTTAGATGTGGGGCTATCGTAGAATCCTACAACGAGCAGGTTGTGGTCGCTTGAGGCAGGGTTTGTTTAAGGGTTTGGGTGCCAGTACCCTAAAGGTCCATGTGCCCAAATAGTATACTTTGGGCCCAATGTACCTACAGAGGGAGTACTTTAGGGCCAATGTATATACTGTATGAGTACATGGACCCTCAGGGGTATACAGTATACAGGATCGACGCCAGTCCATGTCAGAAGGCTTCTGTGAGCATGTCTGTGATGCCAGCTGTCAGAAACGGGAGGCATTGTGACGCAGGCATGGCTTAAAGTCCATACGGCTTACAGTACAGCCACAGTTTGACAGAGGCGTGATGGCGCAATGTGCATTGAGCAGGAAAGGTTTAGGCTTTCGGGTTTCGAGCTTACAGAGCTTGCGAACCTCGTAAGCTTTCCCGAGCTTACCTCATAGGAGGCCAAAAGGGGTTTTAGCCTATGGGGGTTTAGTAGGGATTAGGGCTCCCATAATAGGGTTCATATTACGGAATCCCTACCCCAAGAATCTCAAACCCCCCTTTCGGCCTCCCATCATTACCCTCAACCCTCTAGCAGATCAAAAGGGTCTCATGTCTTGCATCCTCCTGCTCGCCCATGAAGGCCCTTCGAAGTGAATAGAGTGTAATTATGCCGTCTACCATGCATTTGTGATAATACACCTCTATATAGAATTCAGAGGCATACTTCTGAAAGGCTAGATTTACGTTTCTATGCATTTATAGTGTTTTTGGGGAGTATGTCCGGCGCGCTGGCCAGAAAGATTGACAGCATGTAACAGCAGGCTTGCCTGTTTACAACCTACAGTAAACCCCATAAAGTTGGAAACCCGGTTAGGGCCAAATAGTGCTGGGATTCCCTAGACATTACCCTTAAGGATTGAGGCTATTGGGTTTCCGACCTTTGGGCCTCAACTGTAGGAGCCCGCTACTGCAGTTGTTAGGGTTTAGGGGTTTGGGGTTTAGGGTTTAGGGTTTGTATTTCAATCGCATGGCATGCCTACCAGCGATGCGTTCAAGACTGAACTTCCTGGGCTGTAAACATGCCCTGAAAGAATGTGTCACTGGTTCCCCACGCTTGAACCCCGTTATGAGTATGGAGCATTATGTTTTTAAGCTGCGCCGAACTAGCCAAACCGTTTTGTCGCGACGTGCACGCTTCATCCCGCTTTGGGGAACAACCTGGAACTGTCTCCAATTGCGCGAATCTACCCAGAGGCCCCATAGTGGGTCCTTTGGGTAACTTCTTGAGGCAGAGTTCGATTTGAAAGACGGCGGCAGTTTGGAAGTGTCTCACGGGGAGTGTATGGCTTAGTCTGGGTTCCCGCTCACCCGCGCCAAGGTTTGTAATATCCTTAAGGGAGGGGGGTCCAAGGGGGGTATATAGCCTAGTGATCCCTAATTCTCCCTAGTACTCCCTAAGGTTCCGTTACAGTCCCCTAAGGATTCCTTATGCCCTCCCCCCTTGAACCACCCTCCCTTAAAGATCCTATAAAAGGTCGAGGATGCACGTCTTTTGCGTGTCAAGGCAAGGTGCTCCGTGATTTCTCAGACTGCTTGCATTCGCACAGGTGAGCCCAAAACCTACGCGCTAAGCCCAAAGTTCCGACAACCTCCTCAACTGCCATCGATGCATGCTCGTTATGTGAGCTGTTTGGATCGAATTCACGGTGTTCCGCAGCTCTCAGGCTCGAAGACCTTTCCGAGCTGGGAGATTTTCCGATAGCGGAACTCACGCCACCTTTTTCGGATTAAACTGCCTTCCATGTGGTTCTTCAGGCAACCCGGCCAGAGATTGGAGAAAGGAGCTGTGGAACGCTTCCTTCATCTTCCATTCAGAGATCATGTTGCACATGTCCCAAGAGTCTTCTTCAGAGGGTTGCTTCATGCCTTGGAAGAAAGACGAGCAAGACCACTAGGCAGTTTCAGTATTCTCGTATCATTGCATATTCGTATCCCAGCATCATAATTGCCAATTATTGCTATTCCCGCCTTCGTCGTCATTACCGTTATAGTCACAGTGACCATTTTAGCGAGCTCCACTCGTAGGGTTCAAGTATAGTATCAAAAGGTCCGTAGGAGCTTGTGCAGGAGTAACCTCATTCAATCTTCCTTCAACCCTACACCTAACGCCCTAAACCCGAAACCCTAAACCCGAAACCCGAAGCCCTAAACCCGAAACCCTGAACCTCAACCTCCCTCCAACCCCTTCGCTTAGACCACGAGGTCGCAACAGCCCAAAGGGGAAGCGGAGTCGACTTCGGCCCTAGCTCAGGAGACTGGGGTTAATGATTAGGTTTGGGGATACTTTGGGTTTGGGGTTGGGGTTTAGTCGATTGTTGCTTTTCTCTCTTCGCTGTTTCTCTGTATCTTTGTACTTTGTAGGTCTCTCTCTCTCTCTCTCCTCGCTTTGTCTCAGTTCCCGGCGGTCGGCATTTCCTCTTCTCTAGCTCGGGGTCTTGCAAACATACATGACTACCTATATACCTACATACACATATACATACACACATACTTTGCTTTGCACGCATTCAGAGGTTGTTCGCAGCTTAATTAGGTTGCAAGGCTCGAACTAGCGAGATGGGCAAAAGGAGCCGCTAAGCGGCTTTGCCAGAAAGTCCGAGGAGCCGCAAGGCTTGGTTTGAGTCCATTTTGGACATCTATCCAAGCCCCGCGTAGCGCTCCTGGTACAATGGCCCATAAATGGTCTCTCACGGCTGATGCATCGATAACCTTACAGCTTGCTACCAAATCAGCTTCCCAGGTAGCCGCAAGCACAAATTGGTGATCGGATGGGGTCACGTGAAAGGAAGGGCCGTTGGGCCTCAGGGCGGCCCAGTCCACATGGGCGACACTGCGCTCAAGGTCGCGGAAAGAGGCATGGGCGCTGGCTTCTGTCGTCCAGTCGACAGAGGGCCCCCACACACTTGTGAGCAAATCAGCGAAGGCAGCATCAACAGCAGCTTCTGTGTCCTGGGGCCACGTGTCGCCTACGATCTCAGCGCGGACCTCTTTCGTCTCGTGCCACACGAACTCCAGGAGGTCTTTGGCCTCATCCTCGAAGAGGGGATAGCGGCCTAGAACAGCTCGTAGTTGACTTGCAATGGCTCCTTGCTCTGGCGGGAGGGCTGGGGTCAGCAGGGTCTCACAGAGATCAAGATGCGCCGCCTTTTGCACCTCGTCCCAGTCGTTGCCAGCCTGCGGTGGGAGTCCTGCCGTTCGTGGCTGGGGAGTGGAGGGGTGGAACTGTTCAACAGCGTTCTTCCTCCATTGCTTGCTCCCAACCCCAGGTTGCATGCTCTTTGAAAAGAGACGGTGGGCTCGCAGAGTTGCGACACAGGCTGGAGCATCACGGAGATGCCTGGAAAGGCGATTGGTACTCCAGAATTGGCGACCACATGCTTGGCAAAGTGTCCCGTCAACAACCGCCCTATAACGGGCACGACGGCCATGGGACTTGAAAAAGTGAGCGCCGAGTGCCGCTTTGGTTTTAAAGGCTCGTTCGCATGGGCCACAGTACCAGCGCCGCCCCGTGATTTCAGTAGCAATTGGTCTCGCAGTCTTTGCATATCGATGCAGCGCCCACAGAACTGCGCATACAGCTTGCTGCTTTGCGAAGCGTTCCATATCTATCTGGAGACCTGCTCTGACCTGGCGCTTGAACCAGGCGGTGCGGGTAGTCAGTAGTTGTCGCCATTGCGGCCAGGCAGCGCCAACAAGCATCGGCCAGTCTTGTCGGACCGTTGCGGCTAACCACTGTAGGTCCGCTCGAACAGTAGTGAACCACGTCTGCTCAGTTTGCAACGCCGCCCATAGCGCCTTGGGGCCGGTGGCACACATTGAGCTGAGAAGGCTAAGTCTGGCCTTCCGGGCCAGGAACGGCATAGGCGGGCACCCTGTCATAACATGCGCAAGGGCGGCCGGAAGTTTGAAGAGGAGGTCGCCTGGGATTGCCTTGCTGAGCAGTCGCCTAACAAGGCGGGTGTAGCCGCCTTCCAGGGCCTCCCAGCTGGGTCCGGCAGGGTTCCATATGGGAAGGTTGTGGTAAGTTGAGGTAACGGCTATCTGAAGCAGGGAAGCCCTGGTGTGCAGGGGAAGGGTTGAGTTGAGGTAGAGAAGCGCTTTTCCCTGGTCGAAAGCCTGAGTGGCCATCGCCAAACGCCTGCGAGCCTCTGCATTAAGCCTGAGGCGGTGATCGATGACACCACCTAAGTGCTTGTACTGATTTGTCACAGGCAGGTCAAGCCCCAACTCAGGAAGATGTAAGGCCGCTCGCCCGTGGTCAAAATATTGGCGGGCTGCCTTGACCGCTCCTTTGCCGCGCAGAGCGCACATCAAGGCTGTCTTGTTTCGGCCAAGATTCGGCTGCATTCCGTGTGCAGCACATTGCTCCAAGACAATAGAGGCAAGACGTGTCGCCTTTCTGAGCAGCTGCTCAGGTGCCGGCGCTATTAAGGGCCACGCACTGTCATCCGCCCAAGTGGCGTCTTGGCCGGTGATGAGTTCGCCCTCGCCGGCCTTTGCAAATGGCCCGGTATCGGTGTCGACGGCGAATTCAGGGAGCAGGTCTTCGCCTCGTGCGATTTCGGCAATACGGGCAAGCACTCTGGAGTAGACAAAACTGAAGATTGTATCCGCCCAGGATTCACCTGGGCGGCTCCCAGCTTCAGTCTTGCAGAGAAGGCTGCCACTGGTATGGGGGGTCACGAACCACGTGAAGTGGTGGGTGTCCTTTGCCGCGTGACGGATTGTCTCCGGGACATGGTTGTCTGCAAATGTACCTCCCTGGCAAACTACTTCCATCATTTCCTGGAGCTCGGAAGCATCTAGGGAGAAGTGCTCGAAAAGCCTAACAACCATCGCATCATCGTAGATGCATCCCAGAGCTAGGTCCCGAACAATACGGTAATATGCTGCGTGCGTGTCTAGGAATAGCACTGCTGAGGAGCTTCTCGATTCAGCTCCCGCACGTTGGCTTGCCAGGACATACAGGGCAGGCATGACGACTGGAGTGCCCTTTCGAGCTCCCATGTGAAACTCATGAAGGGTGGCTTCTGCCTCAGGCTGTATCTTTCGGCGCTGCAGCTTATGGTACGCCTTGCCTACAACAGAGGCGACATACAATGAACGATAAGAGGCAGCATCCTTCTGGCTTCCGCTCTGTTTCCATGCCTCAAATAACAGACCGCCTCGCCACTGTAGCGGTTGTCGCAGGCACAGCATACTCTTGGTGTACAGAGGGTGTAAAACACGGGACATCGGTCCCGGCGAGGCACGCAGCAATTCCGCTGGCACCGCATCCAAGCCCGCTGCCTTATGTCTCGGGAGTCCCCGTAACACATCCTCTACCTCGCGGAGGGACGGCAGGTGATGGCTGCACCACTCAAGCTCGGCATCTACGACTAGGCTTTCTGGAGTCATTGTCAGAAAGCGGTCCACAGGGATCACTCGGCCATATTCCTGCTTGCCAAAGTGTTCAAGCCAGACTTGATCCCTGTCCGCACGCGTTCCAGCGGGGCGGCCGTTGCTGTCCAGCAAATGTGGCATGGGCTTGAAGGGCTTTCGGCATTTGGCGCCTCCAATCCCTGCTTTTTTCGCCGTACCGAGGATGTCGGGGGCCCGGTCGCCTCCCTTTAACACCAGGTTCTGCAGAAAGGTCGCTTTGGCGCGCCTGATGTCACCACGAATGCGGGCAGATGCAAAGCGAATGGCAGCCGCATTGAGCTGGTACAGTAAGCCCTCACGGGCGATGGCAACACAGACCGAGTAATCAGACGCTGTCTTCCACTGGAGGAAGGCCCGGACGACCAGGTCAGACCAGAGCTTGGCACGATGGCGGCTGCGGCACTTGAGGCTGATCTTTGCAGCGCGGCAGTCCCATACCTCCGCAGGGATGAAAGACGCGCGAGGGCGGCTAACAGCAAATTGGAAATGGCTCTCCATTACTTGCTGCAGATGTGCGGTTAGTTGTCGGCAGTGCTCGTCGGGATGTACATCCCAAGAGGGTGATTGAAATTTTTTGACTTCGGCTGAAATGATGGCACGACCTTCTGTTGTCATCATTTTATCAACATCGAAGCGCGGCCGCCAAAGTGTCCTGAGGTGGCCGTGGTGATCTAAAACCCCTCGGAGCGTGCAGGAGACTAGAAAATGGTCATCCCTGACAGCTCCTAGATCTACTTGGCGCAGGACCTCACTACGGGCCTCTTCAACTACAAGCTTCCCCCCTATGACTATAAAGTCAATTCGGTGCTCGGTGCCCGACGGGTGGACGAAAGTTGTTGAGGAACCAACATGCAGTCTATGATATGTGGACGGCAGCCACGCATGCAGGGTCTGAAGGGCATGTGCGAACTCTCTGCCGGTATCATCAACTTCACCTTGGATGAGGCCGCCAGTGACCCCCGTCACGTCACGTGGCGGCCTGCCATTGAGGTCGATTCCCCCAAGGAGCACAGAGGAACGTTTCAGGGGTCCGAGGACCCCTTGCAGACCGGTGATGAATTTTGCCGCCTCCTCGCGTTGCCCACTATGCGGGCAATGCCCCGAGAAAAGGGCAAGCTGGATGTCAGCGACAGTGGCGACAATTACGAGCAGACGTTCAGACTCAGCTTGGATGCAGAGGTCACTTTCGCGAACAAGTATAGGCTGGCCGTTGAGGGTGGCAATGCCAAGCCGTTTACTGATCCAGATGGACACTCCGAAGTGCCGATGGGACTCCGTGGTGAGTCGCATGTACAGTTTGGTGTGACACACACCGCTGGCCGTTTTTGCTTCCTGCAGGAAGACTACCTGCAGGCCCTGTTCGTCGAACTGTGCTTCAAGGTAAGGGGCCCTGTCCTGCACACCTTGAACGTTGACCGTTGCTGCCCGGACTGCAAGGTCAGTAGCACTGTCTGGCGTTGCTCCGATAGTCCGTTCGCAGATCGGTACGATATCACTTGGAGACAGCTTGCATGGCGAGGAAGCAGGCGTGCCCTCCCATCGCAGCATGTGGCCGTCCGGCGAGAAAGGTAGTATCTTTCTCCCGTTGTCAATGAGCGCAGCTGGAATCCACGAGGCGTCAAGCTGAAGGAATGACGTGACTACATGAGCTGGCGGGGGCGCATTGGGCTTTTTGCCAGCTGCCGCTAGCTTAGCTAGATGATCAGCAAGCTCGTTGAGCGGGTGCCCTTGGTGTGCTTTGACATGGCGGTACTGGAGAGCACCTGCAAGCATGGTCTCGGCCCAAAGCTGAAGATCCCGAATCTGCCTAGCAAAGGGGGTGGAAGCAGTCCACTCCCCGCTTGCAGTTTTTCCTGCTGCAAAACAGTCAAACCACACCTCGACCGACACAAACTGGAACAGAGTACAACTTTGTAGCAGCCACAGGAGAGCGACAGCAACAGCAACCTCTTCGTTGCGTAGTGCCGGAGGTGCATCCTCGATCGGCCAATGGTTCGCCACAGCCCCATGGGTTTGGTCGCTAACAGCTCCAAGTATGCAAGAGGCTTTGTCGATACAGGCAACGATAACAACGGCATATCCCCCAACACATTGATCTGGGGACCAAGAGCCGTCGGTAAAAATCTGGAGCCATGACGGGGGAGGGCACCGCAGAGGCCCGACATAGGTCTTCCCAGGCTGGCCAGTCTCGAATATGCTGGGCGGTAACAGAAGGCAGTGGCAGGGATGTCGCATCTGGGACGTACCACGCAAAGGGCCAACATGTCAGGATGGTGGTGATCAAATCGTCTCTATGCGGCATGCTAACCGACTGAGCAGTTAGATCGAAAGAGGGCGGAGCAACAGCTGTTGCTAAACAGATGGGGCTTGGACCCCGCAGTGGGTTGGCAGCACGAATCTCGGTTTCAGGAAAATGCCTGTCAGTAGTCGCCGCGAAATGCTCAAGCAGCGTCTCTATGAGGGTGCTGGCTTCCCAAAGCGCAGTGTCATCATCACGCAGACATTCCTCAAGTAGGGTGGGACCAATATCAATGAGAAGGCCGTCATAGAGGTCGGGGACCCAGGTCCTCGGAATGTCACCGGTCTCTGGCCGACCGGTTGGACCCTCATCTGACACATCAGGAGGAATGGCATGCAAGGATCGGCATGGTGTGGGTAACGGCCGGGCCTCCGGGATGGTGACTGGGAAGGAACATAGTACCCCTGGTAAGCCGGTCTCAACCCGCATGGGGGTGCGCACAGCGCATGCCCCATGTCTCTCGCCAGCAACAAGAAACGCTAGCACAGCAGATATCCCAATTCTGCGCTGGTGCGCGACAATGACTAGGAGGAATGCTGTGTGCGGCGGTACCACCTTGCAGTCACAGATGCCTCCTGGCGCATCGTCAGCACAATGGCTCGAAAGGAGCGCGTACAGAAAACATAGGGCCGTAATGAGGGAAAAAGCACGTCTCAGACAAGGCTTTCTGCAATTTTTGTCACATCTAGCGCCGTGAGCAAGCTGTGCACAAGGGGCGACAGAGTCAACTATCTCGGTGTCGCTGCTAGTAGCAGGGCTGGGTCGGGCCTGGTGCGTCACGACTGGAAAGGAGGCGGCTCCGGGACTGGACGAATGGGAAGGTCCATCTCCTCCTGCATCTCCAGGGGGAGCTCCCGCCGGGGCAGTACCTCTAGTAGTGTGCCCTAAATCAGCTGCATGGGGCACAAGAGAAGCTGTTAGGACCTGTCCCGGCTCAAGCCAAGTCCACGTCCAGTGCCTAGGCACTTCATGGAGACTGACCTCCCAGCCTTCTGGCGTGCTGTGTCGAAGCACTGCTCGGACGAAATTCAGGTTGATATGGCCGCGATCAGTATGCAGTGGCAGCCAGCCGATCAGTAGGGCTCTGCCATCAACGAGGCAGACGATTTCATCAAAGTCGGTCGGAGGGTGGCTTTGAGACGACAGCACAACAACGTTTCTGCAACAGTGGCCGTGGATGCTTGCATCATGCTGGCGTGGTTGTGCTGGCTGCAGACGCAAATCCCGTATTGGGATATCGAATCTTGCCGCAAGGTCTGATCGCAGGTACATGGACCGCTCTGCCAATAATCGGAAAGGGTGGTTCCCCTCTCCAGTTGCAACAAGGTAATGCTCTGGTACATGGGCGAATGGCAAGTGTGGGTGGGGATGCCAATGTTGCGGCGTTTGCAACATCTCACGGAGCTCAAAGGTGGGGGGCGGCATTTGTCCATGGGGAGCAAAGACAAGGCTCATGCCCGTACGGACTTGGAAATCTCCCCCTGCAGGGACTGGTTCGATCGCATCAGGTAAGAAAATGTCGATCTCAGCAGCGATGTGCAGTCCAGCCAGCTGCAGGAGACGAAATTTGTCAACAACATCAGGTGTGTCGACAGCAAACACTCGTCCATCCCAGAGCGACAGGTCCAAGCAAACTATCGGCCGGTTTTGAAGCCAGGCAGGCACGGCTACAAAAGCTCCCCATGCGGGGTTGCTTTGCGGCCAAGTAGGTACTAGGGTCGGGAAGTTCTGCGCATGCTCTCTGTGTCGACAGGTCTGGATGAGGTCAACCAAGTCTGGAACAGCTTGCGGTATCACCACCGTGAGCGGCAGCACCTCAGGCACATACCCAGGCGTAAAGAGACAGAAGACCGCATCAATGACATCGTCACTAACAAGGGCCTCCTCAGAGATGTCAGAGGGCTCCTCTTCCTGGAGCGGAAACAGTGGCAACCATGCGGGATCAAATGGCCAGCGCTGGCCAAGTGCCCGGGTGGCTGTGCGTGCAGCGTCTAAGCTCCTCTCTGCATCAGGAGAGGACGTATCGGGCTCCCTAAGAATTTTCCAGCTGAGACAGGGGACACCTGTTAAGCAAGAAGGGACATCCTTTTTAATCTCACATGCATCTGAGCGTTGTGCTGGGAGTACAGTGGTGCACCACGACCTGCTCTCAAGTAGAGCTTGGTGACATTGCGCCGCGGAGCACATGACCTCTCGACCAGTACGTACAAAGATGGAGTGGGCTGTTTTCTTCCAAAGGTGCCTTAGTGCAAGCGTGTGCCCTTGGGAGCTGGAAGTTGCCTGGGGTGAATCGCCGGGGGGGCTGGTCCGACCGTCGCTTGAGACCTTGCGTTCAGCTACATGTGAAGGGCCAGGCGCTCCCCCTCTAGGGCCGTCTCCAGGATGGTCGTTATGGCCAGCACCATCCGCATCCTGGTCATTGCAGATGCTGTGCCCTAAGGCAGGGGGGCCGGCAGAAGGAAGGACCTCGACAACCAAAACCTCACCTGGGTGTACCACAAGTAGGCTGTCTGTGCGTGGCAGGGCTTGCCCTCCGCGGATAGCGAGCTGGCGCCCATGGGGCAGCGCTCGGCCGCACTGCTCGCGGAGCAACCTTGCAGAAACTTGGCAGTCTGGCGAGAAAGCCCATGTCAGGCCACAGTAGATAGGGCGGAAGTCCAGAAAGTAAATGCAACCATCCCTGGTGTCACTGAGACTGGCAGCATGCAATTGCGTGGCCGCGACAACAGTGTGGGCACTGCGACCAGCATCAGCATAATCACAAACATCTGGACATGCGAGCTGAAGCAGGGGAGCTGCCTGGGGGGCGTTCAGAGCAGATGCAATGGCTGGCCCTAGAAGTCGTCGACATCCTTTGTCGTGTCTGAGGCTCAAGGGGCCGTCATCACCGATGACATAAGCCCATTCGCCAGCAGCACACGGGACCTCATCTGAGACATCCCATCCGTCCTGCGTGGCAAGCATGGCAGGGAGGGATGTTGCCACATGTAGATAATCGGGCGAGGGCGCAATAGTGACACAGCTGCCTTGGCGCAAGAAGCATTCCTGGCGGGGAAGCAGGGGAGTGTCAGAGTGCGGCACAAAGACAGCATAGGCCTCCTGCGGGGATACTCCAACAATGGCAAGGATCGATTCCCTATCCAGGACCGGAGATGCGACCCAACAAAAGATCCCTCGACTGATAGGGGTGCAGTCGAAGATGACACTGACGTCATTGGTCCATTCAGGACATGCTATCAAAACCCCGAGAAAGCCTAACGTCTGTGGCTCGGCAATGGCTAGGAGGGGAAAACTGGTTCTGGCCTCAGGTGCACGGCCAGCTTGCACACGCCTTAGAACCTCATCTACCTCGGTACCAACATCGAGCTCAAGACGTACGACGACTGGTATGTACTCCTGCACTAGGATAAGGAATCCGGCAGAAAAGGTTGCCCGGCCTCGATCACGCCCTCTGGGAGAACGACTTCGGGCTGGCGAGGCATCGGCTGTGGCTTCTTCAGGTCTAACATGCGCGAGGCTTGGAGGGATGTCAGGTTCAGCAGGCTCGACATCGACACTCATATCGGAGTTAGAGAGTGCTTCGCTGTCATCTCGTTCTCCTTCGACAGGTCCAGCTGCTGCTGGAATCGGCACAAAAGATGCATAGACCGGCCGGCCCGCAAAAAGGAGGGGCCTCTATCTGTCTGGACCAAGCCCTCGAGGTGCAATTCCCATCCGGGCGGAGCAAAAGTCAGCAGGACGTTCTCCAAGTCTGCACGATCTATCCTCCCATCCACTGATGCGAGCAAGAGCCATCCTTGTAGCAAAGCTCGGCAATCAACGACAGTAACTTGTAGAGCGGGCACCGGACGAAGAGTATCCGGGTCGCGGGATGCGGACACAGCACACACATTTCGGCAGTAAACTCCATGCAGTGCAACGTCCCCTAGAGTAGGGACGACCGGTTGGATGATCAACTCCTGTGCCGGGATGGCAAATGCCTCTGCGATTGCATCATGGTCCGGAAAGGCAGCTGTCGGGGCTACTGGAGAGCGCCGATGCCCTTGCTCTCCGACAGCACAGAAACCCCCCCCCGCGGGGCCAATAGGCAGTTGAGGCTCGGCATCCCACGTCGCCGAGTTCTGCAAGATATCGCGAAGAAGAAAGAAAGGGCCGGGGAACGCGAACCTTCGGACAACGAAAACGCAGAGTCCTTGGTGCAGAGGAACCTCCTCATCGCCGAGGGCGACTTCACTTGTGCCGACATATATGTCGACCTCCTCCCCATTCGTGATCTCGCAGAGCCTTAGCAACGCAGCCTTCGAAACAGAGGCTGGTGCACTGGCAGCAAATAGCCTCCCATCAACAGCGGAGAGGTCGCAGCATATAGCTACTTCAGTCGAAGCCCAGCCCGGGAGAGAGATCAGGATTCCAGACTCCTGTGTCGGCTGAGGGTCAACTACGACTAACAGGGGATATAGTCTGGTGCTTACTTCATCTCTAACCTGGGGGACTAAGGCGAGGGCGTCTTGGACTAAGACCGGCGCCTCCAGGACTAGCGTCACGATCTCTGGCACGTATTCTATGCGAAGCACGAAAAAGGTAAATTCGGCTTCTCCCTCGCCCAAGGCCGCAGTTTCTGACTCTGATCCTTCATCATCTCCGGTGACCTCGTCCGGGTCGCCGTCGGCTGGTAAGTAGCCCCATGGTCGACCAGTCTGACGCACAAACTCTCTCGCATGGCCAACTCGAGCGTGCTGCGCAACGCTGTGCGACGCTGGTTCTCTGAGGAGTTTGTGTGTTGCAGGTACAAAGGGGTCAGCGCAGCAATAGCTGTCATAGCAGAGACTGCCGAAGGAGCAATCACCCTGCAACAGAAACCTCGGACATAAAGGGGGCTCACAGATTCCAGGCTTGTTTGCGTCCAGGAGGCTTCCATGGTATCCCCAATCTGTGTCTTGCCTGTCTCGGGATCGAGACCTTTCACGGGTGAACGGCCGCCGGCCATGTCGTTCGGGAGCACCAGGGGTCACCGAGAAGGGGAAGCTGCCGCCTCCCGGGTTGGAATCGCGGGGAGCATCCGGAGGAGCATCAAGCCTGTCAGGGGGGTCGGCGAGGGAGATTGGCAGCGCTTCAGGGATGGCCTTGATGACGAAAGCGTCGTTGCCATACAGGCGTAGATCATCCTCAAGGGCCTCCCAGCCGATAGCAACCAGGCGCTTGCCAAGTGGCACATGCACACCAGCAATAGCCGCAACAGAGGGAAGATGCAGCAGTGGGACCGTGCTGTGCGCAATTCTAACACCGTATCCTAGACCCCTAAAGTCGCAGAGAGTAAAGAAGTCTCTGCGCCGACAAGCTGGCGCCGCGTGCAACTGCGCGCTTGGCAAACTTACCACAGAGGCAGCTTGGGTGCAAGGGTTGCCCCGAAATTCAAGATCTGGCGTTGGGAACACACATACAGTGTATTCGCCCGCAGCAAAATCCCACATGGAGGCGATCGCCGACATGGGCGATTGTCCGTAGTGGTGGTGCCTGGGCATGAAAACCCTCTCAGGTCCGTAGTGGACTAAAACCCCTATTGAAGGCGTCAAACGAGGCATGTCGAGCGGTGGCTGCCAGGAGGACACGTCTTGTAGCAGTTCACTTGCAGTTTGGCGCACATGCCACTCTTGTGGAGGGCGCCTGAAGGACAAGACGTCGCCGTCTCGCAGCCGCAGAGGCACCTCAGGAGAGTGGGCAGCAGGGTTGTTACCTACATGAATGAGGATTTCAACCTCCGAGTAATCCGCTTGCATGGTCGCAAAATGCAGCAACTCCTCAAAGGGAATTTCCTCAGGCAGTAGGCAGGCGTAGTGGTGCCCTCCTACATAGGTCAAATCAACGATCACTGCTCTCATCACACCTGCAGGTGTTTGCGACGCGATGGAAGGGAAACGAATGAGGGTACACCAACCCCTGAACTGCAGCGGGCACGCTGGGACACACCTGTCGTAGATCCCTTCAGCATCGTCTGGGGAGGCATGAAGAACGGCATCAATGACATGGTCAATGTCATGGTGCGGCGGGCAAAGAACGGCTAGCCGCAGTGGCCGAACATGCGGTGTGAAGACTGTGACTCCAAGCCACTCTGCATCACTCTCTCCTGTAGGCTCTGGCAATGCCGTAAGGTGTTCAAGCATGATTACCTCTGTACGCGCTGGTCCAGGCGGGGGTGGCACTAATGGCCGCCTTGGGAGCAACGTCTGCCCTACATGATGGGCAAGCTCCTCAAGGTCTATATCATGTGGTCGTCTCTCAACCGTCGCATGAGCACCAACGGGCAAGAAGGCAGCCAAGACTAAACCTGTGGTGAGGTGCAAGCCATGGAGTTGCATATGACGTGGGCAGCTGTCGTATCCAAAAGCTGCAGCCGGCACCGGAAGCGACATGCAGCCAACGAACGACCCAATGGCAGTCCTCCAAGAGCAGAGTAGAGAGGCAAAGGGGCCCCGACACCTTCTTGTACCTGCATTCCTGAGCGTCCTTTGGGGACTTGTTGCTCGCTCACGACGTCGTCTCCTGGGAGGCAAAAGGTTGGGCGCTCCTTGTTGCTTGGCAACGCTTGGGCTGAAGACACAGCCAAACGCAAAGACCACGGAAACGGGTACACCCGCACAGGGAAGCGCAAGGGTCGTGATAACCGGATCCCGTCGACCTGGTAGGGCTCGTAGAAGCACTTTTAGAATGGCGAGCGAGCAGATTCCAAGAAGACTCCTTCCGAACCCAACCACTAAGGCTATAAAGGAACTGAGAAGACCGCAGCAAGCACGGGTCCTGTTAGCATAATCTGGATCTTCACCTCCATGTGGTACGTAGGAGGGTGTAGCAGGAGAAGGCCCCTGAGCCACCGATGCCTTTCTTAGGCTCCTGCTAGAAAACTTACTAATCCACAAACTGGCTGAGTAGCGACAGAGTGGATTTGGGTGAAAATGCGCACCGTGGCAGCTAAAAGGTGGAGCGCCATTGCAGTGCTGGAGAGGCAGGGCGACCCAAACTGGCGGGCCAAGAAGGACACCGTCAGGAAAGGGCGCAGATGAGACTGGCGAAAGATAACTGCAAGCTGCCAAAGCCCAAGGTAGCATACAGAAATCTTTGCCTTGCAAAAACTGGGCAGAAGAAGTCTCACAGAGGAGGGAAGGAATCGTATTTGCAGCCCCGGGAAGCAAATTGGACAGAGCTATTAGCTGTACACCATGTACAAACATGCCTAAATCCTTCTCACTCACAGTCACATCAGTCAGGATGCTCCTAGACCGCCAAGGGCTCAACCCGACGAGCAGTGGAGATTCGGAGCGTACCCATACACTCTCTCGACACGAGCTCACCAGGGAACCCCAAGCGGGCTGAGGAACAACCTCACTGAAAATATGGCCGTAGGCCTCAGAGCAGGTAGAGGTCGGAGTGGACCCAAAGGCGCAAACTGCGCCTGCAGGATTGGTATGGCCACCTACTCCATTTTTCCCAAGCCTGGTGAGGGAGCTCGCGTCTCCACAGCGGCTGCGGCGTCCAGCTCCTCTGAATCGTCGTCGTCGATCACAGACGAGGTTTGCCCTGTATCTGGCACAAGACCGGGTGGGCCGTCGCTGCCAGCATCGGTTTTCCGATTTTTGGCCAGCCCGAAGGGGGCCAGTGCCGAACGTGATACACGTCTCTTCTCGGACAAGCGATCTGCCAGAAGATGAGGGCTGCCCCCAGTGGCCCTCGTAGCCTCTGCGTCTCCAGAGTGGTCGTTGCCAACAGCAGCTTGTCCGCCAGGGCTGGCATTGCTTGGTGCACCATCTCCGGTAGGGCCGCCCAAGGGCATGCCAAAGTGTGCCAGACCAGGCGAGCTGAGGTAGGGATCTTCGACTCGGCGAGGGGACGGTGTATTCAGCCCCTCCGGAGTCAAGCGGCTCCTGGCTGCATCCTTGGTCGTGGACGGCGGAGTCGTCGCAGGCGGTACCACAACTCTCCTGGGTGGCGTGCTGGGTTCCGACTCCGGCATCTCCAGGGGTATGCCAGCTTTTCGCAAGGCATCCAAAAGTACCCCAATGTCCGGACCACCTGACCCTCCACTGCCTTCGTCCAAGCCAGCAAGAACCTCTTTCCACTCTTCCATCTCGTCTGTCACCTCCATGGCGGTACTTTCCGAAGGCGGCCCGCCATTCGTGAAAACTTGGGACAACTGCTGGTAGGCGAGCTTCTGTTGGTCCTGGGCCTCCTTCAGGGCCTCCGTGACCCTTGTTTGTTCTTGCACGAACCGTGCTTTTTCTGTGCGCAGCGTATTTTTCATGTCCTGCACATAGCTTTCCCATTGCAGCTTTCCGTCCGCGAGTTCTCTCTCGAGGCGGTTCACTCGCGTCTCGTGCTTCCTGGTGAAGTTCACTGCTGTTTGTATCGCCTTGAGCAACGTAGGTGACTTGCCAGGCGCAGCTGTAGAACTCAGCTTCTTTTCCGAAATCGGCACAATGGCGGCAGTGTCGATCTTCTTGGTGTCGTAGGCAGGGAACTCCACTGGCTTTGGGGCCTGACGTGGTCTCCTGGTGTCCGGCCTCCATGGAGGTTGCCCACGCCCTTTGGGGGAGGCTGCCGCTCCCCCACGCCACAAGCGCCAGGAGGGCTGTTGCCAGTCGTCCTCCCAAGCTTGCTCCTCGCCGCGGCGGCGCCATGGCTCGCCCTTCTTGCCCATGGATCTGTGTCCGTGGTGGCGGCGTAGTAGACCTGTGTCCTTGGAGGCAGGTCGCTGACCCTTCTGCACTGCACGCCGTGTTCGACGCACAGCTCGGCTCCGCCTTGCGCGGAGATGGCGATGCCACGGAGGGCTTCGGAGCACTATGGCTCACAAACTTGGCTGGATCAGCCAGAGCGCGCTACAGCGCTGGGGCTCTACAGCTATCCCACTCCTGCCGTGGGTCTTCTGGGCCCTATACACACATACATATATATATATATACACACACAGGTACGAAGATGGATTGTTCATGATTGTTCCATGTACCGGAGGATGCCAAAGGAGCCTCCACGTACGGCACCGCGGCCCTGGCTCCAAGCCCTGACGTAGCAGAGGTCTCCGGGGCCGATGTCTGTAACGAAGTGCTTGAAGAATGATAATGGTTGATGATATAAATCCTGCATTGCCCATAACAGGGAGTATACCATAATTCCCATAGCTTAGGGTCCTTAATGTCATGCAGGATTTATATCATCAACCGTAATCTGGGGCTTAGGGTCTGTGGTGTAGGGCCCTAGAAGGTCCGACGGCTTGACAAAGTTCAGTGTAATGAGGCCTTAGCCTAAAGCTACGAGGATGCTGTGCCGTGCGACCCGAGCGGCTAGGGCTTCAGAGTAGTACATGGCGCCCAATGACCTGGTAGACCACATAGGCGTATACGTGTGGATGTGATGCGGTAAAATGCAAAGGCGCTCCAATACCAACGATATTACTGGAAAATGCTGTACTTTTTCATCCCGCTCCGGCCTACACAGCCGAGATGGGCCGCATATGCTTACCATATGCATCTGTGCAAGATGGGAAGCGGGCATGATACGCTTGACGGGCCTCAACCACACCTTCCTTCCCACGACCTTTGTTGGGCCTGGCACTTTCATGCGCAGCCCCAAAACGGCCCAAGACCCGTAGCCGTCAAGTAGAAGAAGTGCCTTATCAGTTCTTGTTCAGAATCTCCACATGGGAGTTTCCGAAAATAGGGGACCCTAATATAGTATCCTAAATGTAGGATCCTGATTATAAGGACGCCAAAACACGGTACCCCTAATTTCGGAAGCTCCCCCATGATAGATCCGTCAACCCCAAGCTCCACAAAGGGTGCAACGAGTCGAGACTTTTGAATAATGGCCATACCCTAAGGCGCCAAAGTAGTTCCTTTTTGCGGTTCATATTTAGAATCTTATGAGGTAATCCCAAAAAGGAACTACTATGGGGCCTCTGGCCATGTGTTTGCCGGAGGAGGGCTCGTAGGGGTCAGGATGATTGCAGAGCACTCTTACATGCACTTGCGGTGCAGGGTTTAGAGTTTAGGATTTAGGGTTTAGGGTTTAGGGGCTCAAAACTACAAACACTGTTGCAGGTTCTCCGGCGGCGCTTCAGCTGGCATGAGCGTGGAGAGCCACTGCAACTGCTGATGACACTCGGTTTCCTGTCGGGGGCCTTCAGGTACCGAATATTTTTAAGGTACTCAAAGGGTTCAACAAGGGGTTTGGGGCGGTTAAGGGTCCGAGCCGCCTAGTAGTAAGGCATTTAAGTTTCGGATGGCAGTGTCCCTAGATCAGTATTGAATGTGAACATATGGGAGCTCGGTAATCCCTGCCAGGTTTCTTTTGGTGGCTACTGCAGGTTCTGATTGCGGGACCCTACAGTAAACTCCTTAACATTGGAAACCGGATTAAGGCCAAATAGTGCTGGGATTCCCTATATATTACTCTTTAGGACTGAGGCTTTTGGGTTTCCAACTCTTGGGCTTCTGCTGTAACCGCGCTGCGTGTGCCTGTCCACAGCCCCTGAACCCCAAATCCTCAAATGCGAAGTCCTTTACTCCAGATCCGAAAACTAGACCCTACAATCCACCATAAACCATGAACTAATCCTGTAGTGCTCAGCCGTTCTACATTAATGCTAGATAGCCCTACATGCACGACAGAATTAAGCTCTTTCAATGTTACGGTAGGTTTTCTTTTTTGATTTTTTTTTTGCGCAACCGAGGATGGCAGTGATCAGCGTGGGCGGCCAGTATGCCGCACTTGGAGTAGCTTGGCCTTCGACAGCTTGGGGTCTAGGGGTGGACTTCGGGTCGGGTTCATGTCGTTGGCTGGATTTCTAGAAGATTTGTTTGCACAGATCTGGGGCAGGCTTGGCACACGAGGCTTGGACTGCGTAGTTTACGCTTCCAAGCCTGCGAGTCTGCGAGAAAACGGAGTGACCCACTGCGATGGATGGAGACGGAAATGGCGAGGCTAGTGATTACTAAAGCATCCTCATCCTGAGTAATCCGCAATGCTTTCATTCCAATGTACATATTCCTTAGGCTACTCATTAAGAAGTGTGGTATGTTGTACCGAAGCCTTGTTGATATTTTTCAGGCCCCTCTATTGGGCTTGATGGCCTGCTCCCTAATGCGACAGCAGCAAGCTCACATGCTTGAGTGCGCCGACTCCCTCCAACAACTGCTTTTTAGGGTTCTGTGCTACCACAGCATTGTTCGGGCTTAGGGTCATTCCAGCCAGAACGTGACCTCCGGGGAACCACAATGGTCATCGAGCCTGGAATAAGAAGAAAAAGGGACACGAAAATTCGACATTGTGTCAACGCTATATGGCCTTCGACACACAGCGGTCGGCCGTTCCTCAGCCCTGCCGCCCTTTCTACTTGCAGGCATAATGCAGTGGGCTGAAAGCTGCAAGTCTTCACCTCCATTGTTGACCATGACGACGATGATGGTGGTGGTGATGATAATAGAAGTAACCACGATGAAGGCATTGATATCCACGACCACCAGGAGAGAGATTTTCTGATTTATTCACTGGGTTCGTAGCTAGCTACGCAGAGAGAGCCTTGCAGTCAGCACCGCAATGTTGCAGAGGTTATGGCATTGACGGTCTATACTTCCAGCGGTCTCTTCGTGACCTGTGATTCACGACAGCAGCCGCTGGCCATTGCGTTTGCCTGCAGCTTGCCTAAACCCGAATCTCTAAACCCTGAACCTAAACTATACCCTACTTGTATATTCTAAATCGACAGAGTGCAGGTGTTTGGCAGACACGGCTTAGGAACCACGATGTCGCATAAACACATGCAGTTGAAGCCCACCCTAAAGAGCTGGCACTGCAACGTTAGGGGTTATGTTCAGGTATGCCTCTGTTTTACGGTTGAGGGTTTAGGGCTCGGGGCCGCCATGTAATGAAGGGTTTATGTCTAGCTGTGCTTCTGTTACTGTTTGGGGCCTTGTTTCAGAAGGAATCAAACAGCCTGAAAGCACCATGCCCTAGACCTTAAACTCTATGATCCGTAATTCCTGAGCCTATACCTTATAGCCACATAAGCCCTAAATCCCATGAGTCCCTAGACCCAGTCAAAAGAATGAACCCTTGCCGATGGCACATCGATCCATTTGTACATGTATGCTGCTGTCGCAAATTTCCGATCCTCCGTGAGAGTCACGTCGATATCAGTGCTTCCACAGTCGACGGTGCACTCACGACAATACAGGGCACCGAGTGATGACTAAGCGTAGTCCAGGGTTCTTCAATATCGGGATATAGTTGTTTAATGTGGTTTATCACGGCTATCACAAGTGACACTTACTATATTCACACTCATAGTTATATCCCATAAAGGAATCAAGCTCTAATCATTATGCCCGTAGACTAGACTACAACTTCAGACTCATCCCAAATCCATGCATGTCTTCACAGCCAAGCGATTTGCCGTAGCAGCCCGAAGAGGTTTCGGTTGTTGCGTTTGCGTGGACGATTGCGGGCTTAAGTCCGAAGTTGTGTGAGTTTGAGCTCCTTGGGGACATGTAGATAGTCCAGATATCGTCAGTTCGGTCCTCACTCCGTTGAACCGTGAAACGGGTCGATAGGCTGATGGGTTTCCCACGATCATGCAGCAGGGGCTCTTCGGAACCGGTGTCCTTCTACACTGTCCACATCATAATAAGCCAGAAGACAAAGCGATGCATCCATGGCACCTCGTAACCTCCTTTTTGCACGAGTCGGCCAGCTTTTGGACTCCAGGTGAGTGCACCAAGTCCAGCATGCGCTGCTTCGTTCTCTTCGCCATGATCCTTGTCCAATCCTAAGAATCCTTGTTGCTTTCTGTGGTTTGAGTTTCCTGTAACGTGTTAAAATCATAGGGACATTTAGGGGTGTAGTGGGGAGGGGGACTATACTTCCTAAAATAGGCCTCATTGAGTTAAGGCCCCCTACCTCCCTCCCCCCTACCCCCTAACATTCCCTATGTTAAATCCAAGGGTAAAAGGAGGGACCCTTAATAAGGACCCCTAGGTATATACCCTTAATATAGCCGTTATATACCTATTATATAGCCCATTATAGGGTAGGGGTCCCCGTTAAGGGTCCCTCCTTTTCCCCTTGATTAAAAGGGAGCCCATGGAGCGAAGAGGGACCTAGGATCGTCTCGCTGCTGATTGCGCTCCGGCAAATTGCCCGACAGAGGATCTACTACGAGATGCTTCGCCCCTGAGCTTTGCACCATAAAGTAAAAGCCAGAAAGTTGGAATATGGTTTCAGGGTAGGATCCCCTATAGTTTACCTTAAAGGGTTTAGGATAATCCTATTCCAACTTTCTGGCTTCTACTGTAAGTGTGTATGAACCGGAGTAGTAATAGTTGAGAAGCCGAAGCCCGAAATTATTTTGGATTCAGCATGTAAGCCATATTCTTCCTACTCTGCTGTGTAGATAGGGACCAGAGGCCACCTTAGGGCTTAGGACCATCAAGTAGGGTTTAGGGTTTTAGGACTATCAAACCGCTTAAGCCCTAGACAGCAAAGGAATGGAGTTTCACTTAGTTGTGCCCCTGTCAAGTCTGCATCCCATGGAGCTTCCAAGCTGAAGCTCCGGTGGGTTGGCTATCCTTGTTCCCTTCCCAAAGACTCCAATATCCCCTAATTAAGGAATATACCATTATAGTAGGATCCCTAATATGATTT